GGCGTGTAATGCTCCATAGAGGCGTCAGTGAGGGATTAGCAAGTAGCGGCACATGTCAGGGAGTGAGAGTGTGGGCCCAAGCGTGCGCGACAGACCCTTCGTCATTGAGCTCAGGGCTGGCGGCACACGTCCGGGCACGCTTTGCTTATCGCAGCAGAGTCACACAGCGAACAGATTATGTTCAAGCATGTGATGGCTCCTGTCAATACGGCCCAAACAACAGTCAGGAACATGCTAACCACAGCATGGTCTTTTAGTCATTTGAGAAACCTACTTTTCTTTTTTTTTAAGTCTTCTGTTCATGTGTTTAAATGTTGTCAATGTTAGTCATTTTGCTCGGCTCCTTTTATTTTCTCTGCTTTGCTTCAGAATGTCGTGAGCTGATGTGTTTGTCAGTGCTTTTAGGTTTTGTGTCTTTGCTTGCGTGAAGCACATTGAGTTGCCTTGTGTATGAAACATGCTTGCTATTTGTAAAAAAGGAAAAGGATGTGATATGAGAAATTTCCATGTACTCATCCATTCATAGGATCCATTATCTTCATGCGTTCCTCTCACGTGCCGTGAAGTCGCTTCCAGTTTCTGCAACCAATCTAAAGAAACGGCGGTACACAAAGTGAGTGTTGTCTTTCTTCTGTTCTCTTCTTCCTTAGCCCGGCTAGCATAGTGGTGAAAATGTGCTCATCCCTGGTCGATATCATCTCACAGCAGGTCAACGAGCTGAAAAGTTTTCATCGGGTGCGTAGAATATTAAAAGATGGAAGTTAGAAGACATATCAATGGGTTCTAAACAGAAGCAACGTAAATGACATCTTAATGTATTTATCTGTATTTAATTTCTTCTTCTTATTATTGTTATTATTATTATCATTTACATTGTAGGTATTGAACAATGGTTTGTCTATATATTAGTAACCAGTGTTGCCAATGCCCCCCTCCCTCCCCATAGCCCCTCCAAACTACCCCACCCCAAAGGATAAAAGTTTAGCTCTGCCATTTCATGCACATCCTTCACCACAGCTCTGGCTGCTTTATTGGTTACATTTTTGCATCCAATATATGATGAAGGCAACCCGAGAAACCAACAATCAAAATTCGATTCTTGTTTGTTCTTTCTCCTTTTTCCATCTGTCCGTTTTCAAATCTGTTTTTCCTCACATAGGTCGCGGGCGTGCCGGAGCCAATTCCAGATGACTTGAGGCAGTAGGCGTGGTCCCCCCCCTGAACTGGTTGCCAACCAATCGCAGGGCACACGCAGACAAACAACAACCATTCACACTCACAATCACACCCAGGGACAATCGAAAGTGTTCAGTGAACATACCATGCATGTTTTGGAATGTGAGAGGAAACCGGAGTATCCGGGGAAAACCCACGCACGCACGCACGCACGGAGAGAACATGAAAACTCCACACAGGAAGGCCGCAGCCCGGATTCAATCACTGGACCTCTGCGCTGTGAAGCAGACATGCAAACCAGTCCACCATTGTGTCACCTCTCATTTTTCCAATAAATAGAAATCAATTTTAGATCATCCATTCAACGTGATGGATTTTAGCAAGCAGTGTTCTCAGCTGGTGAGCAGGCAGGCAGGCAGGAGGGCAAGCTGCCGCCATGTAATCGGGTAGGGAACTTGAGCTGTCGCTCACCAGGTCGCCGTGGGCCCACTCATTATCTTATCAGCTATTGTAACCTGCAGTCATTCCCCCGCTCATGATTGATGATGTCGCTGTCTGATTACACCAAGACAAAACACCACCGAGATCATCTTTCCAACTCCACAGACTCCGTGAGGTCCACAGTGGGAGGCTGATGGTCTTCTGTCACATGTAAACTTCAACTTCAAAAGGGTGAGGTTGTTGCTTTTGCACATCAAATCAATATAAGGTACCTTCAGAAAACAAACAATCAGTTCAATGGCGCTTTAGAAACTTCACTTTGGTCGGAATGAAACTATTATTTTCCCCATCACGGAAATTCATTCAGTCCAGGGTTCAAAACGTTAAAAATCTTAAAATACTGTTGAGTTATTTACGGCGTGGATGATTGCCATGTCAAGTGCAAAAATAAGCAATATTATGAGTAATTTAGAAATGAAAACATTTTACAAAAATACAAAAAAAATCCCAAAAAAGGAGCAGAGATGGCCACTCCGCAATGGTGAGCAGAGAGGGAATGATTATCCTCATAACCTGTCAACCAAACATTACATGTACTCTCCTGTGCATATTCCTTGTTGCACATCGCACTGACAAGCAGACGCGCATCTGCACAGACCGTATTCGAGAAGGGATGACGCATGCAAGGAAGTGTTGGGTGCCTTGGTCACGGGTTAAAGTAATCAGGGCGGTGACCATCATCGCTCCAACAATGACCTGCAAGTTTTTAATTGATTGAAGGGTTACACTACACACAGGTATGATTGTGACGATGAGGCACACCATCTCGCCTAAGCTCCCAGGGGAAACAAGCAAATTCTCTTCTGTCCTGAGACTGAAACATCTTTGTTTGACTTAATTGATTACATTTACTACTCATAGGACATACTATCTTATAAATAGAACAAGTGGCTCTGAAATCATTGAGTCTGATGGCTCCGATGTCTCTGAGTGTGTCTGTGAGCTGACAAATCAGCTAACTTGTGCTTTTTTTTTTTTTTTCCATTGAAACAGTGAGCCTCACTTCTCTATGAAGTACATGAAGACAGATGCCTCATTATCCATGCAAAACGGGACAAAACAAGTCCTGGACTTGATGCACTAACCCTCCCCCTGCAAGCTGGCATTTGGTTACAAGTGCGCCAACAACGCAAGGCAACCTGCACCAACGCCAGGCCGGGCTCATCTCTGACCTCAGAGTGCAGGTCGCTCACAGAGTCACATGAAACATTCAGTGCATCCAAAGGTCCCCACCAGCAGTGGTAACAGCAGCATTGTCCTTCCGGCCGCTCACTCAACTCATGTGTAATCAGGCACCCCAATCCACCACCCCACTGGAGACACAGATACAGTGACACCCTTCAAATCCATTCACAACTGCAGTGAGTCTGTGATGCCCCCAAAAAAACCCGCAATGCAACGAGAAAGCCAACATTTGTTTCCTTTGAGGAAAAAAAGTCTGCTGAGCCAGTGGTTAGCGCGTCGACCTCACAGTGCAGAGGTACCGGGTTCGATTCCAGCTCTAGCCTCCCTGTGTGGAGTATGCATGTTCTCCCCAGGCCAGTGTGGGTTTTATCCGGGTACTCCGGTTTCCTCCCACATTCCAAAAACATGCATGGCAGGTTGATTGGACACTCTAAATTGTCCCCAGGTGTGAGTGTGAGCGGGGATGGTTGTTTGTCTCTGTGTGCCCTGCGATTGGCTGGCAACTGGTTCAGGGTGTCCCCCGCCTACTGTCCGAAGACAGCTGGGATAGGCTCCAGGTCCCCCGCAACCCTTGTGAGCATAAAGTGGATCAGAAAATGGATGGATGGATGGATGGATGGATGGAAAAAAAAAGTCTTTCCAGCACTTGGACTCAAGTTGCGATGGTGATTTTTAGAAAATGTCGGCATCTAGCTGTGAGTGAATGTTCTGTACATATGTGATGAGGGATGAGGCTCAGATGACATGACTGAACATAGCTTCAAAAGCACATTCCTCGCTTTCAATTAAGAATAAATAGCAATCTGTATCAATTATGTATTTATTTCGTACACTCTCTCCGACTGCCGTCATCTAAAAAAAATAACATTCTGTTATTATTATTATTATTGTTATCATTATTATTATTATTATTATTGTACATTTTCCCCAGAGTCAATCAAAAAAAGATATACTGTATCTTCAAATGCCTATCCCAAATGGAAATACAGCAAATTTGTGACATCTGTCTCAAACAATAACATTGACACCACACACCACTGACCCCCTACTGTTAAAATACTGTCATACAATAATTATCTGGGATTTGGTTGTATTGTTGTTCAATGAGAGTCTATTGGCGAAACAATGAGACACCTGCTCCAGATTGTATGACATCAGTTCAATATGCTGCAGTTTGGCAACTAAATGTGTTCAACTGTAAATAAGCTTGAACGTGCATAATACCGCAAACACTGAGGGACATGTGTTAACTCAGAATTTAATCAGTACATGTGCTGGTTTTTGGCCAACATCTAGTCTATATGTCTTTTTTTTTCTTATAATGCAATGTGGTTTGAAAAAAAAAATGCTACTTGGATACAAGGCAAGAAGCTTCCATGCACACGATGGGGAAAATTTTATCTCATCCATTCTCCTTAAAATTTGTCTTTTGTAGTTTTTTTTCAATAAACATTTACCTCCGTTTCAACCATTGTGGCCCTAGTATCAATCGTAAACTCATTATAATGTCAGATTAATATCAAATTCAGAAAAAAACATAAATGGAGTGTCTGCTGCCATCTAGTGGTGCATTTCTAAGTGACACAGATTCAGATTCAGATTCAGATTCAGAAAACTTTATTTATCCCCGTGGGGCAATTAGAGTTGTGCGAGAGCGGCTTATTGTAGAGACAGTAAGAGCAAGGAAAGACATCGGATAAGAGTTGTCTGATGCTGCAAATTGAACTGTATAAATTAGGTTATTCGAAAAGGCGAATTATATATTTATTCATTTATTGTCCAACTTCAAATGACACTGTTGCATGGCACTGAAATCCAAGAATTTGAAGCCTTGTCCGTGTATAACAGTATGCCTCACAATACTATGGCGTCTGAGTACCACTGGGATGCTTGACTGTAAACATGAAAGTAATATGTTGAAACCAGGGGCCAGATTCAAGTCTAATGTCAAAATCGATAAAGAATTCAATCAATTATGATGATTTTATCAAATGGCCGAGAGTCCCGGTTGAAGATGACGGCTTGTCAACCAGCCAATGCTCCCTCTAGTGGACATATCTCTAATGTCCTCCATTCCTTTTGGCTAAGTAACATGTCGGTGGAAATATCGCGATATGATGACGCTGTCGTTGCAACCAGCGCGGTTGTGCGATTCATGGAAGGGAAATGTGACTTTCGCTGAATGTCAGACTGGGTCTCGATGGCGGCACATTTGAAGGTAAAATGAAACTTTAACTTCTTTTTATCACTACCATAACTGAGGAATATTGTTCATCAGCCCCACGGTTTCACTTGGTTTGCCAAACAGAACAGGCAGTAAATCAGGCTTTGTGGCAGTCGTTCGTCAGAGTGGCCAGTTGTTGCAGTAGCGCCTTGAGCTATATTTCGTGGCAATATAGTATTATGTGCTCATACAATAGCGAGGGTAAAATGGGGGGTGCTTCCCCCTGCCTTAAAACTCCCCAAGATCTCAACCAGCCAAGATCAACCCGGTGGTTGACTTAACATTTATCCCTAGTCTTTTTTCCCCGCTTGTGTCTTCACCCACTGAGGTTGAAGGAAGTAACACGCCTATTAACATGTACTTGATTACCGTAACAAAATATTTACACTTCATACATTAGGAATGCCGGGAGAATGTAAATTAAATGATCATTTAAGGCAAAATGACAGAAGAGTACGTCATCAGAATGTTATGAAACGATCCAGTATGTTAATGCCTCTGTCAGCCTTCAACTTGCATGTTGGTGTGATTTTTTTCTCCCGTCTGTGAACAGAAGCAGCTAAAAGAGGCAGTGAAGATCATCAGTTCGGGTAGCCTCCTCTTTGCCTCCTACCTCACAGTGGTGGGAGATGAGCGTTTCTATGCCAACCAGCTGATGCCCCTGCTGCAAAGCGTAATGGGCGCAGAGACGGCCCACGTGCTTGCGGTAAAAATGATCAGTCTGGGTTTGGTTCCTCTCAACCGCTATCAGGACCCCGAGTCACTGGTGAGTCCATCATCTTCCTGTTTCAAGACAAAATTGTGTCCTCTAGAACTGTGTTGGTCCTCTGATGTGTGCAGGGAGTTGACGTCCTGGGCTTGAAGTTCAAAAATCCCGTTGGGATCGCGGCAGGCTTCGATAAGCACGGAGAAGCGGTGGACGGTTTGTACAAAATAGGCTTTGGCTTTGTGGAAGTCGGGACCGTCACCCCCAAACCGCAAGATGGCAACCCCAAACCACGTGTGTTCCGACTGGCAGCAGACCGTGCCATCATCAACAGGTACTTTTATCATTCATCATGGAGACCATCCTGTGCCTTGCATAGTCATCAAATGTTTCTGTCATGTATAAGACATAATAAAAACCAAGTGAATCTCGTTGTCCATCGATTTATTGACAAATTTACCGCTGCACCAATCGTCAGTGATGGCGAAATTGAAACATTCCCGCCAAATGTTTGGCTCATGGGTCCAATCTTCATTTGTTCTATAGCGTGGTCAAGAAGACCCGGCTGGCAACCATTTTGTGATTGTTAAACACCGTAACTTGATGAAGAAAATATTATGAATGTGCTTGTGTGAAATAGGAACAAAATTCTTCGTTTTATTTAAACATATAGCTTTCCCATAGTGGTTGCCTTTAGGTGCTTTCTTTTTCTTGGAACAGGCACAAGACGACCGAGAGCTACTATATTGCAATTTTAGCAAGAAGTGCATTATGGCATAATAGAGAAACATGATATTGTAAGTACAGCGAATCGAAGTAAATATGAGTTTAGATCCGGCAACATCTATTAAGGGGATCTGACACCAATGCATTTACATCGATATATTTTTTTCCTGGTTTCATCTATTTACTAAGTTTAATCCTTGTGCAAAAAAGCCTCCTTTTCTTTATGGGCTGATTCGCTCCTGGTGCCATTGCATTTGCATTCACTTTCAACTGCAAATGAGCCATCAGCTCTGTGCATGCACTTGAGCAGCAATTGTTCCTTTTGCAGCCTCTGTGCTATGACAATCCAATCTGCACAGGATTTGACTAGTGGGCTTATTATAGCGCTGAGCGGTTTCGTTCTCCCTACATTGTACAACATCGATTTCCCCGTGAAGGTAAACCCATGTCGTGTGGAGCGGCTGATCGGCAACCGGCGAGCAACTTTGCGCCCACGTACGTACGCGTGGCGTCACAGCGGGGCCGTTTCAACGCAGGGTTCCAACGAACGCCCTTAAATGCAAGTTTTGCTAATAAATTGATGTTTCGATGCTTCATGTGTGTGTGTGTGTGCTTCTGTCTAGATACGGTTTCAACAGCTGCGGCGTTCGAGAAGCGCAGCAGAGGTTGAAAGACCGCCAGGCCGCTCAACAGGAGCGAACGAAAGGTTTGTTCTTTCTCGTTGTGGATTTTTGGTGTCGATTTTTGCCTCGCTGAATATTTCTTTGTGTCCGCCTAACAGTGGCTTTTTCTTCTTTCACCCTCATTAGTCGGCGCCCTGGTTGAGTCACATGTGTGATGATGCAGACTGTTGTGTTTTTCCTGTCTTTTTTTTTTTTTTTTTTTTTTTTCTAGCTGGCCTTCCCCTGGGCATCAACCTGGGGAAGAACAAGCAGTCCCAGGATGCGCGGGCAGATTATTTGGAGGGGATGAGCGTGCTGGGCCCGCTGGCTGACTACCTTGTGGTGAACGTCAGCAGTCCCAATACGCCCGGTCTGCGTGACCTACAAGGCAAAGCTGAGCTCCGCCGCCTCCTACATTCGGTATGTCGCAACCTCGGCTAATGACTTGACTTCATGCGAGCATCCACGCAACTGCAAGCAAGTTTCACCTCCCGAGAGGTCTTATTTTAAATCTCAGCTCTAGCTTTTGTTTTTCCTGTACCGCAGATTTATTGTCACAACAAAAGTTTTTTTTTTTCTCATCTCAAAGCAACCTGGCATTCCTTGTTTTCTTATAAGAACGAAATGCTTCCAGTTCCCTTTAGCGTGCTCTTGTTTTCAAGTTTGGCCTTAGTTTGAACTCATCTAAGCCACCACTGCGCTTGCCACCTCAAAGGTTCATTCAGTATATTTACAAGCTTTGACAAATCTTTTGCTCACTTAAGATTTGCTGGACAGATGATTGTGAGGTTTGTTTGAGCCTTGTCACATTGCTTCTGTTTTGCCTCTTTAAGACTGGTACCATTTGTTTCTGTTCATGCTATTAATGTGCTCTCCAAAAAAATGGCAGGTGTTGAAGGAGCGCAATGGGATGCAAGGAAGTCACAAGCCTCCGGTGCTGGTCAAGATCGCGCCTGACCTCAGCGCGCAGGACAAACGGGACATTGCCGACGTCGTTACTGAGGTTGAGCGTTTGATTTCAATCTAATCTTGAGTCGATATCGCTCTGAGGGCTTTCCATTTATTGACAGACAGTTTTTTTTTTTTGGTTTTTTTTTTTTTTTTGTGGTTTGATTTTAAATCGGGGTTCCTGCGGATCTTTAAGAAGTCTTTGAAGGCAAAGAAATGATTTACTCAATGACTCTCGTGGCCACATCACACAACCAAGGAAACAGTGATGTGTTTTTAGTCGGGACTCTTAAGAGCAGACGCGGCCCGGAAAATTGGGGTGATTGTGAAGTTGACATCAAATTTTATTTTCAATGGCATTAAAAAGTCTTGAATTTTGCCTTAAATTGTAGGAAAATTTAAGGCAAAAGCCTGAAATTGTAGGAACCCTGTAAATGTATCGGACTGCCTTCCATTTGCGGTCCGTTGTCATGCAGCGCCACGCCAACGAAGCTCGGCCTTGAAAAAGACGACTCGACGCTTTTTCAGGGACAAGATCGCCACGTTCTGTTCGTCGAAAAATCGAAAAACTGCAGGAAAGGCAACACTTGACGAATCTCTAAATTCTTGACAACCGCTACAGACATGTCATGCATAATTCATTTTGTTTAAATGAAAAAGGGATTGGTAAAGCCTTTTCGTCCTTGAAACCGCGGAGGCTTTAAATGTTCTCCGTCGACGGTGCCCTTTACGCCGTGACCTCAGCACTACTTCTGGAGGTCGTTTTGAGAAAGCACACAGCGGTGTTTCTTGTGCTCAGTGGAGTGAGTACAAGACAAACCTTAATGGAAGAGGCATTAAGTAGGGCAAATATTTTCACAACAGTCTTTGCGGGGAGGGGTTATTGCGGACGACATACGTTGGGGGACGCACATGCTTGTCAAGTTTTCTCCTCACAAATGCACACACAGAGACATATGTGTTTTTTTTTTGTTTGTTTTTTTTTTTTCAGCTGGGAGTGGACGGCTTAATGGTGTCCAACACGACTGTGTCCCGGCCAGAGGTGCTACAAGATCCTCAAAGGTGTGAGACCGGCGGGTTGAGTGGGCAGCCTCTCAAAGACATGTCCACAAACACCGTCAGTGAAATGTACAGACTCACAAAAGGTACAGTACGTGCCTTTTCTTTTATTTATTTTTTTTCCTCCTCCTCTGCAAAGTGACAGTCGGTGTCAGTGTGATGATGTTCTCCCAGGCAAAGTGACAATCATTGGAATCGGCGGCGTGGCCAGCGGACAGGACGCCATGGATAAAATCCGTGCCGGTGCATCACTGGTTCAGATTTACACGGCTCTGGCCTACCAGGGTCCGCCTGTCGTGACCAAGATAAAGCGGGAATTGGAACAGCTTCTCAGGTGAGTGTGAGTCTGCGTTCAAACCCTTTGCTGGCCGCTGTCGTTCATCGCTTGCCGACACTGACGCAAACATTGACGATTCGTTTGTCGTGGCGGAGTTCTGCTCGGATCAGCGGGAGTGAGACGCGCACAAACAAAAATGTCCATTTTTAAATCCATATCTCGCATCCTATATCGCCCAATCGTCGGAAGACCTGCACTGCTTCATTCTGGAAAGTCTTTCTTATCAGTCAGTCTGTTTTGCTTCATTATTTTTCGGACAACTTTTTACTTTTCCTCCGTACATTGCAATTATCGAAGATATTGGCACTTTTTCTGCTTTCCTTTTTGCCTTTAATTCAACGTCGGCGAGCATCCCAAAAACGTTACTTGGGCAAGACGACGGAGCCGCGAGCTAGCGATAGCAAGTTTAGCGATGAGCCATTGACTGCTGCCCGCTAAACATGTTGCGGGTTTCGCTCCTTACTCAAGAATCACAACCTCCATCGACGCGTCTCTATGGCAGCGAATACACAAAAAGTGTTGTCAGTTTTTGGCAAAGACATAATTTTTTTATGCCTTTCATTCATCTGACAATAACGGAGGCCCGGGGGCCAACACAGTGATGTGTCAGGCTGCCAAGACGCTTCAGAGTCTGGCCAATGCAAATTTCATCAATAAATGTCACAAAATCAATATGGCGGGGGGGAAATTGTGCGTCAATAGTGAACAGTCACTGAAGCGTCCCTGCTTTCCACTGCTCACATCGGAAAATGCTTAGTTGCACGCTTATTTGCGCCGCCCAAGCGACAAGTGAGCAATTGCTGACTAGCTAGCGCAGTGAAAGCACGATGTGGAACCACAGAGGCAAAAGTTCGCTTTGCATCTGATATCGACACGGCGCACGTCACTCATCTTCGCCTTCATGGCGACGAATAAGCTCCACTTGTAACGAGTATCGGTATGACGACATCACAACAGGGAGTAATAGAACAGAAAGCTCAACCGTTTGTCCATGTGTAAACTATCCAATCCTGTCTGTCAGCAACGTTATTTTGTTTGTGTGGAAAATAGAATTTTGAGTTGGAATTTGAGTTTTTCTTCATATCACTTGCTTTTCCCTTTGAATTCTTTGCAGAGAACAAGGATTTAGCAACGTTTCTGAGGCTGTCGGGGCAGACCACAGAGGATTAGATGGCCCCGCTCACTAGCAAAGCCGGGCAAGGATCGTTAACACCAAACTCATCGCTGCATCAGCTTTTCCTCCAGCTGGGCAGAAGTTCATCTTTTGTTACAGTGTTTAAACAATTGGCAGTACTTCAACTCTTGAAACCACTTCTTTTTGTTTTCCTGCCTGTGTGACATCGTGTAGGCATCCTTCCATTTTTTTTTTCTACCCGCTTGTCTTGTTCTGGGAACCAGAAGCCAATCGCAGGTGACTTTGGATACTCCCCTAAACGGTCATCTGTCAGTCACGCTGTTGGCATGTCGATACACTACAACCGCTCACGCTCATGTTTTGTTGCCCGTGGAGAACATACAAATTCAACACGTAAAGGTTTCAAGAGCCTTGTGTTTGTCTGGTGTGAATGCTAACTAAGGTTCTGCTGTTGTGTGTGTACATATTTTATTTTCCCCGTTGATGAAAGCAGTTTCATCACATGGAAGAAGGAAAAAAAAACGCGGCATGTGTCACTTTGCATGACAATTTGCTGATACTGCCCGTCACCCGAAGGAAGTGACGGAATTACACATCATGCCGAAATGTAAATGAGAGGTGCAAATGTGCTTTAATATATATAGCCAACTGTTCAAGCAACTGTAACTGGTTTTCTTTTTTACCACACGGAAGCGCTCCGTTACAAATCGAGGTTGGAAAAGTTGTCTGGCAAATCACAGCTTGACACTCCCACTTGGATTGTGACCTTCGAAATTTGAGGCTCGGAATTTCGCTGCTGCTGAGCTGAAACCGGAATCTGTTTTAGGATTCAAAGTCTTTTCACAGAATTGAGAATAAATGACTTGACTAATACGACGCATTGCATGTCTTATTGATTTAATCACACATGCAGACCTCCCACCTGACATGAATGACTGCGTGGTCGTGCACACTTCCTCAAAGTAGTTTTAAACTATGGCTAGGGTTCCAAAGTAGGTTTTTAACCCCTTAAAGTTAAGAAGTAGGGTTTTAAATTCGGGTTAGAGTTTAAAGGTAAGTTTTTAAAGCAGTGGTGAGGTTTCAAAGTAGGGTTTTAAACAATGATTCGGGTTTCAAAGTAGGGTTTTAAACTAGTTCCAAAGTTCCATAATAGGATTTTTTTAAACTAGGGTTAGGGTTTTAATGTATGGTTTTAAAATAGGATTGGGGTTTTAAATGAGTGTTCGGGTTTCAACGTAGGGTTTTAAACTAGGATTAGGCTTTCCAAATCCATTTTCATATTAGGGTTACAGTTTCAAATGAGCTTATTAAAACATTGTTAGCGTTTCGGAGTACGGTTTTAAACTAGGTTTCATTTTTCCGAGTAGTCTTTTTTTAACTTGGGTTGGTGGTTTCAAAGTCGAGTTTTTAACTACGGTTATGGCTGAGGTAAGAAGCATATGTTTATCAGCAGCAAAAAAAAATCATAATAATAGTACTAATACTAAATGCAGACACAGTTGGGTAGGTTTTTTTTTTCACTGCTGATGCTGCCGATCATTTCTGCATCACTTAATTGCTCTACAATGACCTAAAAGGTTGCAGTGTGATAAATATTACAGTGATGCCAAGCTGCAACGGCCACTCAATTTAAGTGCAGGAGTGCAAGTTTGAACTGAAGAGACATTCGGATGAACTGTGCAGACGGATTTATTTAAAATAAAAATGTAAAAAAACAACCTCAGCAGGGACTGCAAGCACAGCACACCTGAGACAAGCACATATTGGTCGTTGCTGATGTTGGTTCCGACGGACAGGTGGCATCACTCGGGCCAGGCGCTCATTCCAGACGGATAATCGAGTTGACATGTTGGTGAGGTGTGCCGAACGTTGGACAGACAAATGCAGCTGGATCACAAATGCCAGGGGAGCCCCTGTTGGGCCACTGCGCAGGTGTTTGGACAAATAAAATACGATTAGACGTGCACTTCACACAAGTTTCGAGCTGACTATTTTTGTTGTATTTCTGACCAATGCATTGCTTCTGGCCCTACGTTGCTAAAATTGCATTCGCAGTAACGAACAGTTTGCCACTACTTGTTTGGAAAGTATGGGGCATATTTCGTCGTGTGTTGCATTTGATTCAATACACGTAATGAATAGTCATGGTGACACACCCTGCATATTGTTCCATGTTTTCTATTTTGCTCTTGTTTTAAAATTCAATATATCGATGCAAATTGTTTGTTTGCTCCGTCCCTCAACATATTTTCTCAGCATGTCACTCACATTAAATTGTTTCGTACGGCATTACCAATTGTCTGGACGGTTCCGACAGAACGTAATAACTGCGGTCAAGCCAACCTCCACTCGGAAAAGTGAAGTCAAAGCAGCCGCCACAGCGATTGTGAATATTGTGCATTACGGTAATCTACCGTAATACCCTGTTGCTTTGCTCCCAAATCCTACCATGGCCCTGAAGTGCAAATCACAACAACAAATAACTAAATCCAACAGCAAATTAAAAGAACACAACAAATAACTAAATCCAACAGCAAATTAAAAGACAAGATAATAAGACAAGCCAAAGAAATCAGAAAACAAAAACAACTGCAAATGAAAATATACAAAAATAGCGAAAAAAATGCAAAATAAAAAAAGCTAAACACAACAGCAAATATACAAATAACAAAACGAACAAAAACACATACGCTAAATACAAAAGCAAAAAAAATAATCAAAAAACACATAACTACACTTAGCTACATTTGACGGACCTCCCACTTCCGCTCGAAACATTACGCTAAATACAACAGCCAAAAAAATAAATAATCAAAAAACACATAACTACACTTAGCTAAACACAACGATATTTTCATAGCGCAAGTGTTAAATACATGGTGATGGACGAGGACTGCATCGCTCTCTCGGCCAATCAGTTATGAATCTGACCTCCAATGCTGATTGGACAATAGGGAACATCGTACATTTGACGGACCTCCCACTTCCGCTCGAAACATGTCATAAAGGATGACATGAGATTTGTTTTTCAGTGTGCCGTTTTTAGCCATTTCTTTTTCTTCATTTGCTACTGTTTTTATTTTTTTCACATTTTGGATTTGCTGTTAGTCATTTGTTGTTGTCGTTTGCACTTGAGGGCCACCGACCAAAGCCCACCGTTGCCCCGCCCCCTGCTCAACACATCCACCCCCGGAGCTGTCGCTGCCTTTGCCCTGGCTTGAGCCAAAAACAGAGCCCAGCCACAGGTGGTCCGTGCACTTTATTGGTTATGACACACGTCTCTTGCCTTAAGTGCTTGTAGAGACAATTAAAAATGCATCAGTACCATGCAATGAGAGGGCTGAAAAGGACACACAGCAGACAGCAGAATGTAACCTTGCTCTGCCTCCGACCTCTCATGCCTTGTCCACGAGGCTTTTTTTATTGTGCTGTGTACTAAGTGGACTACGTACATAGACACATAATGCACACGTAATCAGACGATAAGTGACCACAAATACATTTTATCTTCCGATGATGCGACATACTCAACACAACTGAACTCTTGTACCCTTTTTAACCATCGCTCTCATTGTGAACGCGCCAGTGCTTTTGAGCCAATTACCTTGAGTGTTAGCACTCAGATCCAACCTTAAAACTTGAGCACTCCAATTTTACGGACAAAAGTCTGTTTGAAAAGCAATTCAAAGGTTTCACTGTTTTGTGTTTTGTTTTTGTTTTTAGTGTACTTTTAAATCACTTGTCCAAACACACACACACACACACACACACACACACACACAGAGTATAGAATTTCCTCACTTCTCACCACCCGTCTCATGTCACAATCATGTCCTCCCCCCGTGTTGTGTAACACACCAGCTCTTCCACCATTTTTGCATCCACAAGTCACAAATTGTAATTCGGGTCACCATGCTTAGCAAAGTTGCCTTTACTAGTCTTCGCATGTCAACATTTACGATAGCGTTCAGTTGCACCTTGCAAAGTTAGTTTGTCTTCTACAAGAAAAAGACGGTAAGATGGCAACGAAAGGCCTTTATTGTCATGCCACACACAAAGACAAAAGACTTAAATCCATCTCCTGGCGCAAACACAAAGTTTTTATCATGAAACACTTTAAAAGTTAACATATACAGGACAACAATAAAATCGTGTAATCGCCCTATTGTTTTTTGGTTCTTGATCGGGCGCCCAATCCATTGACTTTCGTGGGTTTGGAGCCTAATTTTTATTGAACCTGTTTGGGATACAGTGAAACTCCATTTTTGTTGAGGGATCGGGACCAGGCCCTGCGAAAATCCAACAAAAAGGGGTTGCTAAGTGTGCATTAGGTGCTGCAAAATGGCGGCAAAGTATTTAAAGTAGAAAGGATCATAAAGTACCAACACCATGCTTCTAGCATGTACACAATCATGAATCCATAAAACGACTGTAGTCACAAGGTTGTTCAATAATTCAACACAAACCACCTTCACATGAGGCTCATCAATATTTGCTTGCATGGATACGAACAGAATGAACGAGCTAGCGCAAACTGCCGTCACATCACACATAGGCAAACAAATATGCAAAAAGCACTTGATACAAACATTATCAAGTCACTTTTTGGCCTTTATGCATAATGATAAGTATAAGGGAACATAGACAAATTGTAACGGCAAAGTCGACATCATTGGCAACAAGTAGCTGCAGTGGGAGCCAAGTAGAAACGCAAACATTCACTTTCACTTTTGACTGCGCATTAGGTGCAGTCAGGGACCACAGATGAAAAAAAAAAAAAACACTAATCAATGAATTCAGCGTTACAACAAGGCCAGGATTTGACCAGATAGCAGCAAAGTAAAACTCTGATTGCTTTGAACTGAGAACAAAATCAAGGACAGGCCGAGATTTTCAACACATTTGTGAATGCCGATTTGCAAACGTTGGGTTTCACTGTACATTTATTTGCACGGTCAAATACTTTGAAAGCGCCTAAATTCAGTGCATCTCCAAATGTCATCCTGATCTTACATGAACATAAATTGACCCTTTCTTCACATTTTCAGTGTAATAATAATAATCAGAATAATAATGGTAAAGGACAAATATAATCAACACTTATTAAAATGCAACTTACAACAATCCAACTTATACTGACACGTAAAACTCAGAATCAAGCCTGGACTGTTTTTCTCGACGGAAATAAAACTCCCACTCTCATCCACACAATAAACATGTCAAATGTGTTCCATATGACATTTCTTCACAGTGGGCTTGGAACACAGTTTCAGCGCTTTGTCAATGCTTGGAGTGGGCCAGGAATGCCGAAGAGCAAATGCAGTCTGAAGAGCTGACGGGCATGCATGTGCCAAGAACGTAATCCATTTATCGGCAGCTTCCTCGCATCGTTGCCTACACTCTTGAGAGCGCTTGCCTGTAGACCCGCATCGAATGTTTTTGGGAGAATGAACCGCTCACAACAGTTGATCTTATTCATGGAGATCGTGTAATGCTGAAGTTTCACATACAAGGTAACTTATTACGTAATTACAAAAGTCTGAGAAATCCAAACAAACAAACAAACAAACCAAAAAAAGGTTCAATTGCTTTGCATGAAAGTCACAAATGAAATCATTCATGATTTCCATCACAATATTGTACAGCACATGATGTTGTAGATTCAAAAGATGTCATTCGTGCATTGTTCTCACAGATGTTGTTGCATGCAACGGGCCAGTTGTCGAGTAAGATGTATATATATTTTTTTCATTATTGATATTTGAAAGCAGATGGAAAATCCGCGGCGGACCCTCAAGCCCGAGATAATCACTGCAACAAACTACGGCTCTTTATGCTGAGAGCTGTTGGAGCCTTTGTGCAGCTCATGAGACGCACATTTCTTTGAGACTATAGCACAGTCATTTTCTTACTATGGTTAATTTTGTTGCGGTAATGGCATGATTACCATGAATTACAATAGACATGAACATTGGGACTCGTGTGACTTTTAGAGGGCCAGAGACCTTCGTGGAGACTATGACAAGAAAATACTGTGCCCTTGTAAAAAGTCAAGAAGAGGAGACCGCCCTCTTTATGTATAAAGTTCAATCTGTTGTACGAAATAGCAAATTTCAATTTTAAATTGGCATACAAAAAAATAGAGTTTATGAAAGTATGCTGTCCGAGGTCCGAGCAGGTATGAGGATCTGATGTCATGTAAACATTGAACCCAGTGGGTTAAGCTACAACTTTTATTTCTGATCACTGAGGCAGATTTCATGAAAAATATTCATGTGGTTATGCATGTGTTGTTAATATTTGAATGGTGTGGGAACAGCGGGTGTCCCCTCACAGTTCTTCCACAAAGCAACCCAAGGAACGGAAATGTCTTCAGTCTTCAAATTCCATACGTTCAAAAACAGCGATTAACTTGAGAAAAAATACGATCGAGCATTTTGGGGTTTCATTTTTTTATGATGCAATGCTCAATATATCTATCGATCTCATCGTCTTCAGACTCTATGTGGACGGTGTGCTTCATTACAAGCTTTTTGCTCATGGCGCTGGAAAGCGCCCCGGTTATGAATGTTGTCAAAATTCCATTGAAGACTCTATGACCCTGATCCAGGGGAGTCCACAAAAAAATAAAATAAAATCTCAAACTTTGACGCTGCGATTAGCTGCAGAATGCTGTTTGTAAATTCATATGATCTCAAAGAAGGATCACACGTTTGCGTTACGTACAGCATATAAGACGTCCTTTGTTGCCCACTTGAGGGAAAAAAAAATTGTTGTGGCCTTCCGGATATCACTGTGGAGTTGTTTTCCTGAGAAATCACAAAAGAGGCCAAAGACCAAGAAGTCAGAGGAGAGATTCTATTGTGGCAGTGGAACACAGCTCGCTAAGTATACAGGCGATAGTTCTTTCATATCGGAATCTACACCGTGCGTGTCTGTCCTTGCCAAAAATGAATTAAGCCAAACGATGGTTGGCAAAAGTTGGAATTGTCCTCGTCTGAAGATTGCACACAGAGAGACGAAAATTTAAAGCTACCTCATGGAGAAGCAACAACGCGCTTGTTGCCGCGGCACATTACTTCCACCATCAACAGCAAGTCTCGAGCATTGATCGAGAAGCTGCGGTCCTGCACACACATTTCAGGTTTTCTCCTCCTGCGGGGGACAGTTATCGCGCCGAAAGAGCAGGGTCACACCCTTCCGAAAACGATGGTCCCTAACGCTGTAGATGATCACGTTGCAGCAGCTGTTTGCCGTTAGAATCCAGAAGGCAATAAAGGAGAAGTTGCACCAGGTGTGTCCCACCACGTTCCCCAACACAAATACTGCAATGGGAGAGAAGGATGCGGTGAAAGCAAAAGTTAAGATGCTGATCGTCTTAGCGGCTTTAATATCTGAAAAGGAGGGTCTGTGGGGGCATGACCCGCCTCCTCCTCCATTGGTCAAACTCCCCTCTGAGAGGAGTTTGCGTCTCCTGGAGTACTGCCGGATGCTGGTGAACGACATGATGTTCACAGCAAACGTTCCCCCAAGAAGAGTGAAGTCAAATACGGGGAATAACAGCAGGATGTTGGCGTCACGCGGCAGCCGGTTGCCCAGCAACACTGGGGAGTAGTTGCACATGCGGCTACACTCATTGTACTCTAAAGTGAAGTTGCTGCTGAATAAGAGTGGCGCGAGTGCCAGGAGAAAGCTGGCAGCCCATGAGAGCAGGATGAGGAGAAGAGTTCTCCTCCGTGTCACCAAGGCGTCCTTGTGCAGCGGCCGCAGGATGGCCACGCTTCGCTCCACCGTCATGAGGAAGATGGTGCTGATGGAGACAAACGTGCACCCGGCGAACACGGGTCCGATCAGCATGCAGGGCTGCCAGGGGTTCCTCGGTCCACTTAGAAGGGAAGCCTGAGATGCTGAATCACTCTGGTACCAAACGGGAGGTGTGTAGGTTACCATCAGTGAGACTTCAGTGTAAACGGAGAAAGGGACCACAACAATGCCCACCATCATGTCAGCTATCGCCAGAGACACTGCCAACAAGAGATACACACTCATTAGGAACATTTACATTGGACAACAAAAACACACAAGGTCAATGTAGTAGACTAGTTCTTGTAGCTAATCTAGTTCTCGTTGTAGTAGACTACCTGCTTGTTTTGTTGGACCCGACTGCAGCGTTCGATACGGAGGAACACAATATTCTGTTGGCTCATTTGCAGCACCAGGTTCTCATTAGTGTTGGTGCTGGAGAGTGGTTCAGATCCAATTTGGCAGACAAAACCTTTTGTGTTATCCTCTGCCCCACTGTCATGTGGTGTTCCCCTGGGTTCAATTTTGGGGCCCCTGGTGTTTTCACTGTATATGCTTAGGTGGCTCGATTAGCTTGCAGATGACATGGTGACTCAGCTCACCCCTGCAACCGCTAGTCAGGTTCCTAATATTGGTCCAAAAAATCTCGCTAACTTGTTTTGAAATTAAATACTGAAGGCAGTCACCTTTCAGGTAGCCTTGTGGTGTCCTGGACTGTCTCGTCTGCACAAACACAGTCAGAGTGATCACATTCCCAACCACTATTGCGAAAGTTAGGCTGACCATGAACACAACGGCAAAGGCACGATTGAGAAAGCCGCAGCAGCAGACGGTACAAAGAGGAGCCACCGGCCGGTCCGATACAAGTTCCGCCAGAGAAGCTGGAGTTAAGTTGAAGGGAGAGTCTGTGGTCACCAGCAGAACGGCTGAATTCCCAACCACATCGGTTTCATTCAGCAAAGCAGTCATGGCCCAGGGTGATCTTGTCTTCACTTGTGTTGTTTCTGTGGTGGGCCAATCAGGAGACCATGTCCTGACTTCACAGAATTACCTGTTGGGGAGACGTGAATCCATCATGATTATGAAATGAAAACCAACTTTGCAACACACACACACACACACACACACACACACACACACACACACACACACACACACACACACACACACAGTGGGCAATTTAGAGTCTTCAATGAACGTAACATTCATGGTTATGGACTTGGGAGGAAGTCAGAGTACCAGGAAGAAAATCCACACAAGCACGCATCAGAGTCGACACGGGGAAACCAAGTTTCAAACCATGAACAAGGAAATAGTTTTAGATTTGTCATTGTTGTTGTTTTTCATTTCATTTTTCCCCAGTTACTTTAACCCTTTCATGCACCCTATAACCTGATAACATGATAAACTGTCCACTGGAGTAACCGCTGTCCCTGAAAGGGTTAAATTAGCATTCAGAGCTGGTTTCTTCGTTTTTCAACTAAGTATTAGTTTTGTTGTTTTCATACATGGAACCTTTGTTGAGTTCAAGATGTTTTTTTTTTCAAAAGGTAACCAAATAGAATAAAGTAACCTTGAGCAATTCTCAAAAGATACCAAAATAAATACACTTAAAATGAACCCTGAAAGCTCATGTATGAAATTAAATGACAAAGACGAAAAAAAGGACATTTTGACAATGCTTTATTTTTTTAAAGCATTTTTATTTTACCTTCTTACCAAAAATGTTTCTTCAATTTTGGTTGTTGTTTTGTAAGTTTGTGTCAACTATAATAACCTTGCCCTAAACCTCAGAACTGTGACACAGACATCATCCTGTTCTGTTGCATATTCTTTATGTATTTTTTTCTTATACATTTCTAGCCATGCTTTTTCTCTGGAGTGACAGATTTGAAAATTTCAGGCATCTGACTTTTGACTTAAAAATAATAGTCGGTATTGACTGCCATATAGTTACAATCCTTGAAAAGTATGTTTATGATTATGGTGGCAGTTGGCAGTGGTCGCTGCATTTTTCAGAGTGGCGTTTAGTGTGACCTTTTTGGGCCAGAACAAAATTACACCTCTTAGTACAATCAGGAGAATGAAAATACAATGTTGTTTGTGTATGGTCGTCAAATAATGGAAGCGCATCCATTAGAATCAGGATGACAAAAGATTTGTGTGATCTGCACGTGCTGGTTATGCGCTGTGCTCGTGCACCTCGGCGTTGTCAGTAATCATTCAGAACATCTTCAGGTCTCCTCACTGAGCTGACAACAATGCGCACAGGTCCTTCAATCATTTATGGCATTCGATGCTCTGGAGAGCAGGAGGGGGGCTAGGGGGGCACACATACAACAAAACAAACAGGTAACAGAGGGACACAATCAGACACTGAAAAGCACAGATTTAGTCTGAGTAAAGTCACCGATCTGATCATCTTTTCTGCAGCGTATTTGCCTCTTAGTGAGGAAATGGATGTACTGTCGCAAATGCAGTCAACTTTGCACATCTGCGCATGCGTCAATGACGTTTACTTCCCGCCCCGGAAATCAAACATCGAACGTACGGCCGACTTTTTACTCGCTCGTCCGCTGAGGCAACGATCTCATTTAAATCGTGGAAAGAAGAGACAATGTTGTCACCGTTCAATTCTGTCATCTTTTAAATGACTCTCGGTAAGAAAGAACTGTGTTGAGTAACGAAGAAAGGCATTCATTCGCCTCGCAGACGTCACTCATTTGACACGACAGTTACATGGTGTTCATAAATCACAGCCAAACGATGTGTCAACAATGTCTCGTTGCACCAGATACAGAAAAAAAAAACATTTAATTTCACCATGTAGACTCTAAAAAGCTGAAATGACAGAAAAAAACAACAACAAAAAAACACCTTTGAATAATTTGAAGAAAAAAACTACTCATTAAAGGGCTGGTTACCTTTAGTGAAGATGACAGGCTAAAGTCCACCCTCTGGCAAGACCTCCAGTGCTGTGAGACCAGCAGCTGGCACCACACACACGCACGCACGCACGCACGCACGCACACACACACACACACACACACACACACACACACACACACACACACACACACACACACTTGTTAAGAATGCTGTATGCACGCTGATGCATGCATCCCCTCTGTTTCGGATCAATTTAAATTCCATTCACACATTCCAGCATGTCCTATAAATTGTATGCATGTGTCGGGTTCGTGCGTGCATGTATTTGGTGTGACTTGATGTCAGACCTTGGAAGGTCTTCTCACCCTGTCACAAGCGATTCTCCTTTTGAATGAAAATTGACGTAATGTGCCAAACGTATGTATTTTTAGGTATCCATGTCATGTTTTGCATGATGGTGGAGGACCCCAAAACGCAGGGAGGCAGGAGGAGCAGGGTGGGCTGAACAAAATGTATTCACCCAAAAATAAAATAAAAATACTTGCCGGAGTACACTTGGGAAAAAGTAACTCAAATACACAAACAAAGTCCTGAAAACCACATAAAACCAAAGTAACACACAGAAAATCTATGACAGGAACACAGGACAGGAATGGAAAGGACAGGACAGGACAGGACAGGAGCACACAGACACACAATGATCCGACAACTACTGACAGAACCCAGGGAACGAAATACAAGCAAAGTGACACGACAACGAGAAGCACCTGGATAAGACGCAAAGGGTTGAGGCAGGTGATTGGTTAAACACAAGGGACCTGGGTGACGAGAACAGGTGGGGACAAAAAGGGCACACGACAAATGTCATCGAAACAAAATCACAACAATGCACATACGATGCAAATGACTTCTATGGAATTTCTATAACCGAGATCTCATTCCTATGAGAACGTAACCGGCTGGTTTCTTTTCTTGATGGTTCTTTTTCACCAGTTAAGTAACGTTTTCATTCACCGCGATGGCCCGGTCAAGAAGAGCCAAGTGTGGAAACATGAAAATGAGAGGACTGCGCCGAACTGAGTGCAGAGGGCTTGACATCTGGCGGCATCATTTCACAGTCTCGTCTTGCATAACAGCCTCCAGGTTCTTCAAGTGCGACGCATTGAAGCATTCGCTTTATATCATGTGCTTGTGTACAAATCTTTTCCGACGACAAAACCTTAATACCGTTGAATGTACCAACAACGTGTAAAATGCAGGTTTTTTTGTTTTTTTAGCTCTTTCTGGTTTTGAGTCATCTTTTGTTTGGTCTACAGTGGGGAAAATAATGATCCAGCACATTTATGTAGCAACTGAGCATCAGTGAAAAAAAAAAAACTTGAATCATCAAAGTCCCCCTCAAAAAATATTTAGAATCACCTCCATTAACAGTTCCAAACCATAAACATGCAAAAAACTGTGGACAACATAGTTCCTGGACACTAGTTACTACTTTCCTATTAATAGGTTCCTCACAGAGTAACACCAAGAGGTGAAATTGCAAATAGTGAACCCTGAAGCAAAGAGAAAAGGCTGATACTTCACAAACTGAGGTTCAAAACTATATGTCAGCTGAAGACATACATCGGCAGCAAGCAAAATGGATCACAATCGATATTTTAGTAGTTCGTCCCAAAGGAGGCCATTCAACTTCATTCACGCCAAACCGAGCAAAAGGTGCCTTGATGTGATGCTTTAAAAACACAGTTGACCTGGTCTAGTTAGTAGTGTGGTTCCCTCATCTGATTCCTCTCCGTAATGATGAAAACGCAATTTCATAACATATCTGCTAACATGAGCCGAAGCCCCCTCCTAACCAAGCAGTTATGTAGCAACATTTCGATTTGAAAAATGCTACATTTGTTTCAAAGTCCAGTTTGAAAAGGTGCGCCGTATTTTGCCATGAATTAAGTATTATATTGACTACCAAAAAAAAAAAAATACAACGCAAGGAACATGAAAAGGGGGCTTTTACTGACCTGCGCTTGATTGAGAGGAAGCAGGAAGAGGTTAAAAAAAAAAACAAAAAAAAAAGAAAAGGCGAATGAATCCAAGAAAAGAAGCTTGACCTCGCGGACACGAATATCGATGACATCAGCTTGCCTGCAGCAGGAAGTGGAGATGTCATCGAGGCGCCGGAGAAACATTCAGCAATCCGTCACTCTCCCCTCACTCCATCCTCGCTGGCCCTGGGCTGCGATGGATGCACGTCCTCTCCCCCTCCCGCTTCTCCCTCTCCTCCTCCCCCTCCTCCTCCCAGCCTCTCTCCATCTACGCACTCTGACAACGCGAGCAAGTTCACGGCAGCCTCCTCATCCTCCTCCTTCCTCTTCTTCCTTCTCTCTGTACCTCTCAGGCTTTTGTCCTCCCCACAGCCTCGAAGCTTTGCGCAAGGCCAGGATTGTACAATGCATGGAATTTCCAAAAGTAAAATGCGTGTTTATGTTGACCAAGCCCAATGTTTGATGCCGGGTGTACCGTAAAAGGTTTGTTTATCATTTTAACATTGAATCATAGAAACAAAATAGATTGAATAACCCAAGCTATATATTGCACCTGTAATTGGTAAAGCTTCACAGTATTTGTTTGAAATAAATTACTCCGGAGATAGAATTGACATTCAATGCGCGCATACATATTGATCCAGGTCCTGAGCGACTCCTCCATCATCGACTTTGAAATTGATTGAAGTCGTCTGGTTTCCTCCCAAATTCCCAAAACATGCAGGGAAGGTTGATTGAACACTAGAAATTGTCCGCAGTTGCGATCGTGAATGTGAATGGTCGTTGATTGTCTATGTGTGCCATGCAATTGGCAGGCAACCAGTTCAGGGTGTGTGCAAAGACAGCATATTGAGGGTATCCTTCAGTTTTTCCAGTATTTTTCAACCACCACCACCACCACCAACCCCGCCCACCAACCCCCTACCTCACCCCACTCGGATTAAAGAGTGGATAAGGCCCCATGTAGTTTGCCTACCTTTGCTCAAGAACTGTAACGTGACACTTCTCTCTCTCTCTCACACACACACACACACACACACACACACACACACACACACACACACACACACACACACACACACACACAAAGCATTTGTGCATGTCTACGACGATATTTGCCAGATTCCCTAATCAAAGGAAGAGATTGGCGAGATCATTTTGATGTGTGTTAGAAAATGCTACACGTCCATCTTTGAAACGTTTTGCTGCAAACTGTCATTGTCAGAATTGATTGAGGAACGCAACGGTGCTAGCTGAAGGTCAGATCGTGAGAATCGGAGGAACATGAAGATAATCACATTTGACATCTTCCGCTATGGAGACCGAGAACATCTGCAGAAAACGAAATACTTTTAAAAGTAGACCGAGTGGACCGAATCATTTAAAAATAGACGGCGGCGTTCTATGAAAAGGACGATCATTTTTTTCTCTCTACATGTGAACATAATGAATTTCAGATATTTTTTTGCCTCGGGTCTATGACTCCACTGTGAAACTTGACTCCATCCAAATTAATTTGAACACAGTCTTTCATGTTGAGCACGTCATTAAATGCTATAGAATCACGCTGAAAACATCCACTCCGGGCATGCAAAGCCTGTGTTAGATCCCTCCGTGATAAATTCATGGAAAATTGGATGACTATTCAATCAGGCTGACTCACTTCTTTTTGCCCCTCTGCGTTTTTTGCATCCAAATTCCCATAGGTGGCGGTTCAAATGGTCTTGCTGGACAAACGGCTTGTTGAGCATGCGACGTGTCGTGACGGGCACAACGGGGCAGACGACTCAGCCAATTGCTTTTGGGTCCTCAGCTCGAGGAGGCCCCAAGAGACATTGGGCAAAATGAATGGCGAAACAACGGCGACGTTCATTGTTTGTTGTTCTTCGACGGGGGTGTCCAAACTTTTTGGTTTGAGGGCCACATAGAGGAAAATGGACGGATGAAAGGGCCACTTTCAAATTGGGCAACTTTATGAAACACCCTAAAGTCAGTTTTATCTTGTTGTCTTGTCGAGTTCATTCATTCCACTGACATCATTATCGAGTTGCTGCAATTTAAAAAAAATGGTTAAGAGCGAAAATAATTGTATCAGACATAGATGCGCTCTTTGTTTGCTTAAAGGTTAACTTGGATGTTTTTGGTCTATTTTTTGGGGGGTCTATTTTGGTTGTCGATTGCTAGAACAAAAAAAATAAAAAAGGAGCAGCTGGCTTTTAAAGAAATCCTCTTTTAGCAGCTCTGCAGCAGGGTGCAGGGGGTTCGCCTCCTTGGCCTCTAAAATATGAATATCCCTGTCAAAGCCATTACTTGCGACCAGTCTCCGAGTGGACTTTCATGGCTCCGTCACTCCCGCAGAGCGTTCGATGCTGACAGTTTCGTTCTGCTGTTGAAAGCAGAATTATGTCGCGGGACGTAAAGAACTCCAATTTACAATTTTGAATACGGTTTCTTCCCGTTCGCCGGGAGAAGGGGAACATTGATTTCCGTGAAACTCGACGAAAGCATTTGAAGGGATGAAACGTTTCGACATCGTCACTTCAATATGAAGAACGCCACATATCATTGTCTGCGATGCAAATACAAATCATGTGTTCAATAAATCATACTGTACAAGTATTCCCTCCTCGGTTGTCTGGATTGGCACAAAATCCTGCGGGTTGATCGTCAATATAATCCAAGTACTGTAGCTACATTGCATCTAGAGTTGGTCGGAGGGTCTTTGTTCCCAAAAGTCCGAACACGGTCACATGACAGCTGACAGCTACAAAATAGCGACGTCAGGATGAAACTTTTCATGTCAGAATTTTTTCGTCACTCCATACAATTTGTCAGTTGACTTCACTGAGTTTTTTTTTTTTTTTAACAAATTATGCGAGGTTCTCCAGCACCCCCGATAGACGCTACAAGGGATCACTTGACAGCAAGACGAGTGAGAGCCTCTGCGGGGGGGGGGTTGCTATAACACGTTTGAAATAAATGTGAGTGGAATCTTAATTGAGTTCCTTTTAATATCTCATTCGGAATTATTCTCACAGTGGGGGGGCGCGCCAGCTGCGATACGACTTGCTTACGACTGCAAGGAAACAATACACCCGAAGCTGGCAACACTTGAAATCAAACCCCAGCAGCGCTCTCCCTCCCACTCAACAGGGACACAAGCTTCATTTACTCTTTTGGGGCCTCAGCAGAAAATTGAAACAAGTCAAAGAGGTTCAATCACGAAGGAATGTTGACGATTAGTGATGATGAAAACAAACAAAACAAATCCAACAAAAAGGGGTGCTGCGTAGTTGAGGGTGAGTCACACGCATATGACATGCTGTCGTGCTGAAAGCAATTCAATTTCCGTTCTTTCGATGGCCCAGGCATCTACAAGCTCTCGGTGTCTCCGTGCTGTTGGTTTGGATGCGCCCTTTGCTCCCAAACAAACTCCAAAGAGCAAGCATGCATCTTTTCGGCCACAACCCTCTCAAAGCGTTCATTCTGCTCCTTGGTGAACAAGTTTCGCCAGTCACCAACTTTACCTACAAGAGGGGAGAGACAATTGCTAATTGGGCATTCATAATAGAGTATTTTCTATGTATCGATATGTACATGTAGTCCATGTAGCCCAGTGTGTGATGCCGCCATTTCTGAGATGTTTAGTCAGCCAATGCACATATTTAACATTCGAAAAATCTCATGGCACGCCACCAAACAAAACATTTTTTGAACCTATTCTCCATTTATTTGCTAAAAAAAAAGAAAGAAATCACTGCTTTGTGCTAAGGTCAAAGCAAGAAAAGTGTTAGTTTGGTGCCATCTTTCAGCATCGTGATGCCAAAGGAACTATGTTGAGGTTGATAGAGACGTTTCTTTTCATAACAAGGTCAAAACAATAAAAATGTTACTTTGGTGCCCACTTTTGGTATATTGATGCCAAAGGAACTATGTTGAGGTTAGTGGAGTCGTTTCATTCAAACATAAATAGTGTTTTGCCGCTACCTTGTGGCATCTATCGGCAGCTATAAAGATTTTTAGGGGAGGTATCAAGGTCAAGGTCAAGGTCATCTTTATTGTCAAATATGCTTTGATGTATGACATGCAGCATAGATGAAATTTCTTTCCAATTACACCGCTCACAGGTAATTTATGAACCTTCTGCTATCTCATGTAAGATCACTTAATTGTCTGACAGGATATGTCGCAGGCATAGATAGATGGACAGAGACATGATTTGGAGTAAGTGTCTAATTTTTGAAGGGAAACTGGACAATTTCCTGCAGCACACACGCGCCGATCTGTGAGGGCAGACGCCGCGGCTCACCTCTCCTCATAAAGGAGCCCTTGCTGTGGTCCAGGATCTCCCGAGGGACGAGGCTGCCGTTGATCATCTTGTTGTCCTTCATGCTGCTGAAGCGGCAGTGTGCCGCACACTTGTTCACCTCATCGGTCACCAGGGCATGCTGGAGGAAAGCGCTCACCTTCACAATCGAGCCTTCCAAGTCCTACGGGGAAGAAGGAGAAGCGCGATTCTCTACCGAGAGCAAAACCAACGCATGCTCCCGGAAACGTTCGTATTGAATACATGCCGCTTTTGCAATTACCGTCGACAGCTCTTCGTAGGTCACGTGAAGCAGATTAGCCATAGCGCCGACCTGGCTCGTCCATCCTTTGACATGGTCGAACCAGGAGCCAAAATGCACTGCAGCACATGCGGATATATGGCTTCAGTCTTTCGCACACCATTAAAAAAATAATAAAATTATTGTTAACGTACCTGTGCCCTCCAGAAAAGCGTTTAAAAACTCTTGAAAGGAACCAACATCAGGCAGAAAATTGGCCATTTTGTGGAAGTGGTAAAAGGACACCGCAACGTCTTTTGGGTTTCTACTCACATAAATCACCTGCGAGGAGAAACAAAATCACTCTGTGGAGATGACGTTTCAGCCGTTGTGCCAAACGGTCGCACCTTTGCTTTGGATCCTCGGAGAGCCTCGGCCAGCATGTGATGAGGCAGGTGAGTGGTCAGCATGCGAGGCTGGCTTAAGCTTTTGACAAGCGCTGCGCTGTAATGGTGCTCCAGCCAGGGAGCGCGTGCCCAGTTTGGGACAGTATCCGACAGGTGCGGGTCCCCTCGGTTGGTGATCAGAGTTACCATTTGCTGCATCCAGGTGGTGCCTGAGGGCGGACAAAAAAAAGTTACATTTCAAAGTTCACAAGAGATCTTTAGGGCGATTTTTTGCTTCGGATATTGTGGGCCAAGAGTACAAGCTGCAAATACTATCATGTACTTGGTAAAACGGATATGAATCTCAGTGCTACACATGTTGACAGGGATCCCTTACCTGACTTTGGATAGGAAACAATGAGGATGTCCGTGTCTTGAAAAGGAAACCTGAGAGCAAGCCGCAAAGACTCCTGCGTGTGCAGGTGTCCAGGAAAACATATTCCACCAAACACTTCTTCCACTTCCAACATGGACATAGCTGACCTCCGTAAATGATTCCGCCGATGCTTGATCGATCTTGGCTCACTCGCTATTTTGCTCCCTGATATTTTCGTGCTTCTCTCCGCCTCTGTGGCTGCCCCTGTCCGAGTGAGAAAGGCGCCCAACTGAGATTCAATCTAAAGAGGAAGTGAAAATACGCACGCAGAACTGTAACCAAGCATACGCCTTTGGAAGACTTTAGAACAGTGGTGTCCAAACTACGGCCTTGGGTGGCATATGCGGCCCGCCATCCATTTTGCAGTGGCACGAGACAAAATTTCATATATATATATATATATATATATATATATATGAAAATAATACTGAAAATGACATTTGACATGGGCCGTGTAGGTGGGCAGAGTGAAAAGGGGAGGTGTCAGAAAAATAGGTGCCATTACTACTAATACTAATTTATGTACTGTCATATTTTTCTTGATATTCGAAGAGACCATTTATGATTCAAAGAATAATTTGTCTTCAAAACAAGGGAGGGGATAAGGATAATTCAATCTTAGCTCTATCTAGTGAATGCATGACGCAACCACAGCCACTATTGTAGTTTCTATTCTAGGCGCCTAAAAATGCGCTGCGCCCTAACTATGAAAACGGTTTGAAAATAGGCCATTCATTGAAGGTGCGCCTTCTACTCCGAAGCGCCTTATAGTGCGGAAAATACGGGACAGTACTCAACTATTTGCCTTAACACCTGTAACAGAAAGCTAATGAGATGAACTAGACAACACAAACAATATAGAATTGCTTTCTTGACTGCCTTTAGCATGGATGAAAAAGTTGAAGAATTTGAAAGTGGCCCTTTTATCTTTCCATTTTTCGGTACGCGGCCCTCAAACGTAAAAGTTTGGACACCCCTGTGGTACATCAACACTCATATACTGTGTGTATTTTGTGACGCAAGTCCATTTCACACATTCCAATTTACAGCTAGAGTGAAAATCACGCAACCGCTGAAAGCAGTTGAAGTGTGAAATGAAATTCAAGAAAGCACTCATGAATAAACATGGGAAGGGAAAAAAAAAACTGAGTCGATCAAAGTTGTGATCACATCAGTGGTACAGTCCCGGCCAACCATTCATCTTCTCTAGCAGATTTGCTGGAGCCACCACCCACCAGACTTCAAGCGAGCACCTTTAACTCATCACCACCCAAACAAGCGAAAAGGTCACATCAACCAATTCACGCATTCACGCATCTTCTGTTCATCCAAGCTAGCAACGATCAAATTCAAAGAATGATTACGCTTGGAAACGCAGTTTTGATCACGACACCAAGAGGTATCGTGGCAAAAACGTTCAGTCAGCAGAGGGGCTTGCAACGCCCACACCATCTGTTCGGAACCTTCAGATTAAAGCGAGCTGTCTTCTTATCTTCAATGACATTAAAAGGAGAAAAGACACTGGAAAAAAAAAAACTGGGAAATCCCATCAAGACCCATCAAGAAGCAAGAAAAAATGAGATTCGGGTGCTGAGGCAGTTTTCATTGAGCTTGTACTGTAACTACTGTTGTCACCATTGTGGTTTTGCTCAATAAAAACCCCTATTACGTAATTCGTTGCAAAACACATCGAAAATCTGGAAAAAGGGTTTGGAAAAAAAAAAAAAAACATTCCAGCATAAACGCTTGGAACACACTACAATAGGAACGTTTATCGCCAAGCTTATTTTGCAACCATCAATAAAATGGCCTTCAAGTTTGCCGGTGCGAGCAATTTCAAGTTGTGAATCATTTTCATTCCCACATCACAAAAACAAGTCGTTCGATCGTTCAGGTGTCATGCGAGGTGCACGTGCGCAAGCTGCGGGAGGCCGTTTGGGGCCCGTCTCACCACGATGCTGGCGTCCATCCGACGTGAAAACTATCAACACATTGATCGGGTTGGAGGTGGTTGAACGAACTCGGGAGCGATTCCTATCGAAGCTGCTTTATGGCGGGAACTTCTCCGTAACATTAACCGGCATCGATTGTTTTACGGTTGTCAGGCTGGCCAGAGAGTTGAGCTACTACGCAGTTTATGACAACACACACACACACACACACACACACACACACACACACACACACACACACACACACAAAAAATGCTGTGGTGAAAAACATAACAGAGGAGGAGCTTTGCACTCATCGTGTACTTGAAGGCTAGAACCGAACCGACATGTGACAGAGAGGAAGACATCGGTTCTTGAAAGTCACATTTAGTTTAGCGAGCGGGGGAACTGAAGTTGCTGCGAAATGTCATTCGCCGCGTGGTTGCTTTTATGTGCCATGTGTTGGTCCGTCTCTTCAGGCGAGGACGTGTACATGGCCCGAGCGCTGAAGCTGATGTCTGAGACGCCGCTCATCGACGGGTGAATGCAAACTTCTTTGATGTTCAATGGCGGAGTGTGTCTTGTTGTTTCACTTCATCGGAAACTTGTCTTGAATTTGACGTTCTTCCAGAGGGAATTGTTGCGGTAATGAGATGTGCTGACAAGTCAGGGTTTTTTTTTTCCCCCTCCCATCTTTTTACCTTCCAGCCACAATGACCTGCCTTGGCAACTGCGCGAACAATTCAACAACCAGCTCAACAATGTGGACCTAAACACTCTGGCAACAACACACACGAACATACCAAAGATCAAGACGGGGCGACTGGGAGCGCAGGTGCGGCATATGCATATATCCTAAACTTGATTTCAATCCGTACATTTGCATGACTGGATGAGGTCTACCCGTACTACAAAAGCCGCTGGTGCAAAGACAACACTGGTCAACACACATTTTGATGACAAGAAAGTTGTTCAATGTTTTTAGCGTATTTTGATGTCACAGAATCCGAAAATGACATTGTTGTGATTGGAGAACAGCGCTGCCCCACTGTCGTACGGCGTTCCACAGGGTTCCATTTTGGGGCCCCCGCTGTTTTTATTGTATTTGCGACACCCTGAATTTTATCGTAAGAAAGCCGGCTATTTCCTTTTTACTGTTATGCAGTCAGTCAGTCAGATCTATGTCCCGCTGCGCAAAAAAAACTTTCTCATTAAGGTCGCTGTTGTCCTTTCTAAAGGAAGTAAAGGCCCAGATGACACAAAATTTCTTGAATTTCACTCGAAAGAAAACTGAAATTATGGTGTCGGTTGACCTGGGCCCGCTGATGTCTTATCAAAAGCCAACTTGCAACAACTTGGGTTTTAAATTGGACAGTCATTTTAAATTCCACCAGCAAATTTGTGATGTTCTTAAACCTTAAATTATTATTCTTTTTTTTTTAAATCAAGGCAGCTGGCCAAAGTAAAGCCTCTCCTTTTGCAACAGCATTAGAAACAACAATCCATGCCTTCCTTACATCTTGACTGGATTATTATTGCAATGCACTTTATTTTGGAGTCAGCTAGTCCTACTTCAAGCATTTCCAGTTGGGCCAAAATGCTGCTCCTCACATCCAAACTGGAGCTCGCAGGGGGAGAACAGAAGTCCAATTCTGTCCTCCCTGTACATTTTAGTTCATTTGAAGATTCTTTTATTTGTCTTTCACTCTTTAAATGGTCTCGCCACGCCTTACCTCTCTGAGCTCCTCGTCCCTACGCACCTTCCCGGTGCCTCAGGTCTGCAGACTAGACGCTACCAGAGGTACCGAGGACTGAAGCAGAGGCTCGGAGGGGTTCGAACTTTTTCCATTGCCGGTCCCTATCTTTGGAATGACCTCCCGCTAAAATTTAGTCAACGCCGTCGATTTTTAACATCCTACCTACATTTTATTCTTTGGCTTTTGAGACAGCATGAGACTCGGCTTTGTTTTAGTGTTTTATGGCGCCTACCATTTTTATGTGACTAAGTTATCATTTTAACTGTCTGTTAAATTTTAACTCCATGTGCAACACTTTGGATGCAGCAAGGGTTGTTTTTAACGTGCTCTTTAAATTTTTAATAATGCGCAAGTAATGGCATTCCAAATCTCGTTCGACACCTTTGATGAAGCTGCACATGTCTTTTCAAGCATCTCCAAACAATATTCTTTCATTTTGGATGCAAGATTGTGGAAGTAGCCAGAAACCATGAAAAGTCTCTTGAGTTTGGCCAACGTAATCAACAAGTGGGTATCAAACCCAAGATACATTTCAGTTCTTTTGGTTCATTGGTCGTGATGGTGGTTCAGCTTCATCTGCTCGGCAATTAAGTGACATCCATAACCCTTCCTAGTCAGTCAGTATATCCGTATTCCGTTTCTCTTTCAGTTCTGGTCGGCCTACGTGCCCTGTGAGTCTCAGTACAAAGATGCCGTGCGACAAACACTGGAGCAGATTGACGTGGTACACAGGATGTGTCAGAAATACCCAAACGCCTTCATGTTTGCCACCAGCAGCCAAGGTCAGATGACAGTGTGGAATTGTTTTTTTTTTTAGGTGAAGGGGGGAGTAATTCTGGTCAGAGTTGAAATGCAAAGTGTTTTTTTGCGCAGATATAATGGAGGCGTTCAAACGCAATAAGACGGCCAGTCTGATTGGAGTGGAGGGGGGTCACTCAATCGACAGCAGTCTGGGCATTCTGCGCACTTTCTATCAATTGGGTGTCCGCTACCTTACGCTCACACATTCCTGCAACATACCCTGGTAGGACACACACACACACACACACACACACACACACACACACACACACACACACACACACACACACACACACACACACAAACAGAGCATGTATTTATTGATTCATTTTAAAGATACATGATTGGTACGTGTTTGTATCCTGCTATTTTGAGTACGTGAAATGAAAAGGAAGCCTGCAGAGAGAGCGAGGTCACGGTTGGCAGATGTTGAGTTGAGGAGAGCAAGGGAGATTCCTGCAGACTGCAGCTGAGGTCTCCGAGGTATCAAATTCACTGGAAGAGCCTGTTAGTGGGCAACGCTCTGTTAACACGTGAGCCTCAGCTTGGGGAACACGTGAGCATCGGTCTCGACAAAGCAAACACAATAACCTGGTTGAAGTACAAAGTTCCACATTACAGGTTCTAAAAAAATGGCCACTCGAAAATGCTCCCCCCCCAAAAAAATCTATCTACACATTTTTTATCGTCAGGGCTGACAACTGGCTTGTGGACACTGGATCAGAACCATCACAACACAACGGCCTGTCTCCATTTGGCAAGGTCAGTCTACGTGGTGAAAAAGGATTGTCATGAAACGATCAACTGTGAGTGCGATGACTTACCTAGATCAGCTTCAAATCTATTGACCGGAGTGCAGTGGCACGGTGGGATATGTGGTTAGCTTGTCTGTTTTGCTGGAGGAGGCTCAGGGCATGTTGGGGGCGTATTTTTCAGGAACATTTCAGTTGAGCTCCAAATGACACCATTTGGGTGTTCAAAATATGTCAAAACTTTGGAATGTTCCAGTCAAGAAAAGATCGCAGCTGGCGAGAGACATGCACACTAAATTCAAGTTATTTTCTACGCGTCAGGGGAAACAATATTACTTCTCAGCCAAAGTGCCTCGCTCACACACACACACACACACACACACACACACACACACACACACACACACACACACACACACACAAATCGAATCGTTAATGAAGAATAAAATACAGGAGGACACTTGAATCCGAACACCAAAATATGCGGTAAAGGCTCTCAACAAATAAATGCACATCATGGAACACGTAAGAAAGGGAAACTCGTGTTTACAACTTGAACATGGTGAGGCATTATGGGAGATTGCGACTTCACATTCCCGTCTGAAGCAATGACATCACGTATGCGTCGTGTAACGTTTTCGGCGCGTTGATAACACGTGCCTGTACCAGCCCCCAGAAACAGCAGTGGAGGAAGGAGAAAGATTCACGTTCGTAAGCTGTTGAGTTTGTGTCAGCCAAGAACACAAATATTAAGTACGGTTTGTTGCACAATGCACACTCTGTCTGTCTACAGACTGTTATCTAGTTTCAATAACCCTATGCAAAAAAAAAATAAAAATAATAAAAATAAAGCATGGACCGCAGCGCAATTTGCATTCAAGTTTAAAGAGAAAGTTCCACCAGATTGTGACTGTAGGAGGTCCCCGAATTGAATTGTGACATTTATCTGCTTAATATAACGATTAAAGTAACTCGTAATCGAATGTAGTTACTTTTAAAATGTAATTCGTAAAATACTTCCTCAAAGTAACTGTGGCAATGGGGGACGAAACTGAACCTGAATGAAGACAAGAGCTGTTGAAGATTGATGGATGCCACTGTGTCAGACATTAAAAGTGAAATCATCTCACTTCCCCTCCAGCAAGTGATCGCAGAGATGAACCGTCTGGGGATGCTGATCGACTTGGCTCATGTGAGTGTACAAGTGATGAACCAGGCGTTGGACATGTCCAAGGCGCCCGTCATCTTCAGCCACTCCTCCGCCTTCGCTGTCTGTCAGCATAAGAGAAACGTTCCCGATGAGGTCCTCAAGAGGGTGGTGAGTGTGTAAACACAGTGTCGTACGCACTGGAGATTCTAAGATGTGGACCCTTTCTTCTGATGACACCAACATGCCAAATCTTTGACAAACGTTCTCCCGCAACAGTGGCAATGATGAGAGGAAACTCACCAGAAATATGTTTTTTTTAAATCTACTGCGTTAAAATCACTTTGTGCCCTAAGAAGACAATCCCTCCTCTCAGTGAAGCAAACCAGCTCATCCTGTAGCAGCCGCAGTGTAGCTTCATGTAGTCTTCTATCCGCCTTTTATGTCATCAAACGTTTGTCATGTGACATCTTTTGTGTCGATCCAGAATGAAACGAAAGGAATCGTAATGGTCAACTTCTACAACGACTATGTGAGCTGCTCTCCCACCGCAACCATCGCCGATGTTGCCGGTAGCGTCTTTAACTGGCATGCAAGCACAAGCCTGGATGTCAAGGATAGCAAATTAGCGCTCAGCCAGCTTTCCAAATGATATGATGAGTGTTATCGTTAACAAGCCAACGTGTGATCAAATGTGCCGCTTTCACTTTAGATCATTTTGACCATATAAGGAAAGTGGCAGGAGCTGGCATTATTGGTTTCGGTGGCGACTATGATGGCGTTGAACGGTAATTGCGCAACACCTCGAACGTCCAAGCAACGTGATGATCAAGATACGATGAGGTGGTGTCTTGTTTCCAACCCGTACTCGTGCCAGAGTTCCCGAGGGTCTGGAGGACGTGTCCAAGGTCCCAAGTCTGGTGGCTGAGCTGTTAAGAAGAGGGTGGTCGGATCAGGATCTCAAGGCCGCTCTGGGGAACAATTTGCTTCGTGTACTCAAACGAGCGGAGGAGGTGAGCCGCAGACGCACACAAACACGACACGTGCATCTGTGTTGAAGTCTTAAAAGCGCCTCGCAAAACATCCATTTATCCATCTTCTGTAGCACTTGTCCTCACTTAGGGTCATCACGGGTGTGCCTATCCCAGATGACTTTGGGCAAGAGGTGAGGTACACCCCCGGGCTGGTTGCCAACCAATCACAGGACAACCGACAATCAGATTTACAATTAGAGTATTCCATGAACAAATGTGGGCGTTGGAAAACTCAGGCAAGCATGTGGAGAACATGCAAAATCCACACTGCAGCGCCCAAGCCTAGGTTCAAATCAGCGACTGCTCAATACTACGCTACCTTGCTGACCCATGCCAAATTCATTGGACATAAAAATGCAGCACTGTGCACTTCATCAGTGGATGGTGGCATGATAAAAGTCTTATCAAGCCTGTAAAATGCTTGTGCAACACGATACACTCGTGGCGCCAAGAGCAATATCGAAGAGACAGAAGGTGCCGATTTTATAGTATACAGTAGTCATAAAAAGCCACCAAAAAACAACAAAAAAAAAAAACCCACACATCAAGTGATGCCGTTTCCAACAGATATTTTCATGAATGGCGGTGGGTTAAGTTGCATGTTTGTAGAACCTCAGACTAAATAACAAGATTTGTATGACAGCATACATCCGATCTAAATATTGGAATTGAACTGCTTTCTGACGTTGATTCCAAATCGACACAATATCGTCAGTAGCTTGTGGCGCCTTAAGCAAGCATTGTTTGCCCATCTGATTTTCTCATTGCAATCCGCATGCTATATCAAAAGACGTCCATGCGAGGGTTTCCGGGATGTACTCTGGCTTCTACCCACATTCCAAAAACTTGGTTTGGTTAGTGAAGACTAATTTGTCCATAGATGTCAATGGTCGTTTGTCAACCGAATCTCACCCAATACGGCTTTCTTATTATCCGCGACCCGAACGAGGACAAGCGGTACAGAAAATTGTTTCACATCAAGCAGTTACTTTCTGTCTTGTGTGCTGCCTTGAATTGTTTATTTTTTTGTGTGTGCGCGCGCGTTTCTGGAGCCAATTTTTTTTTTGCCGGTGTTTGACAGGTCCGCGACAGCCTGAGCAAGCAGAGTCCTGATGATGTTCCCATCCCGTTGGATGAGGTGAAGAATCCGTGCAGAACAAATGATGGCTATCCCAACGATGGGGCGTCCCCGTCGCTCAGCGTCGCGGCTCTTCTTCTCCCGCTGGCTTTACAGACCGTCGTCTAACGACGCGCTTCATCGGGGATCTCCCGCCTTCGCCGTTATGCTTGGTTAGTTTGTGGAAGCGCGTTTATGTTGCTTCATGGGATGAATGTCATATGTTCTGGCAGAACAGTTCTTCGGGATAGCTGTCTTATTCGTTTTCCCTGCGACGGCCTCTGAAGTCATCCGACGCACACGCAATGAAAACACTCTGGGGGTGGAGATGAGAGGTGTACTATTTTCAAGACAAGAGAGCCACCTAGTGGAGAGAAGTGTACAACTCACAAATGTTTCTTGGAAAAAGTTCACTATTCACAAAAAATAAAAATAAAAAGCGGGTTCTCCCTCTTCCTACGGGGCCAGTCAAAACTACATTCAGAGGGCTTTTGTGTGATATAAGCACATCGTCTCATACAAAATGTGGCACGAAAAGACAATGGTATTTTTTCCAACACAAGGCACAGACAGACAAATCGACGTATTGTGAATCGACTCTGGTTTGAAGCATGTATTGTCCAATTCTGGGCCTGACTAGCCGAAGAGTTATGATCAAAAGACTTAAGCGTAATATCGTCTTCCAGAACGCCACAGCACGTGGTCCCAATTCCAAATACAAACGTGCTTTTAATTCGAATACCATTAAATCAGATGGAAGCTACATAATGGCAGCTACACCCGTGACGTGTGCAAGTGTTTAACATGCTTAGGCGCAATAAAGAAATCAATGCAGAATGTCTGACTTTCTTCAACAGTGCGAATTGTTTGGCGCCCTCTAGCGGGTTCCACAAACATAACATAACATAACAACAATTCCAAACAACAACTGCAAGTGGGCCCAGCTTCCCACCATGATTTCAACCGCATTAGAAGTCTCACTGGCTCAACTTAAGGGGGCTTTTGAGAATCAGAGTTCGGCTGCAACGGAGACACTGGTCAGTCACACTTTCAGGCTTAATGAAAAGTGCATGAGTTGCTCATAAATGGACAAAGTGCTGCAGCTCACATGATCGACAGCACTGACACGGTTAAGGGTGCTTCCCAGCTACAAGCGCGCACAAATGAACCATTGCTGACTCACAAACCTTACCGTGTGTATGGCCTTGTCACACAAAGCAGCCATGGCAAATACAATAGATTGTGTTTTTTCGCCCTCAGAGTTGTGTTGTTTCCGTTGAAATGATTGGCTCCTACACACTGAGCAGGCATAGAGATGACTTCAAGTGTGAAAAAGAACTCATGGGGTATGTTATTGTTGAAGACCGCTCAGTCTTATGACGCCTCCCTGAGCGGTTCACTCTCCTGTCCCTGCGCTTCGCAATCGGACAGCAGGCGATGAGTCGGCACTGCGATCCTGTAAGGCAAACTGTCTTTGCTCAGCATCTTCCTGGTGGCACTGACCAGTCGCGAGTAGTTGTCAGGGTTGTAATCCGACAGCTGGGGCCGGGGGCTCAGTAACGGCAGGTTGACCCTGTCCACCTGAGACGAGAAGAGCGGCGGCCGGCGCTGGCTCTCGCCGTCCTTCAGCGAGTCGGGCAGGGGCTTGCGCTTGCTCTCAGGTAGGAGCATGATGGACAGCACGGAGAGGACGGCGAAAGAGGCAAAGATGACGTGGTGGAGGAAGTAGCCCCCGTTGTTCTGGAGCTCCATCAGGGAAGAGGCGGCCATGCCCACGCAGCCCGCTGCCAGCACCAGACCGAGGCACCCGCCTCTGTTATGGATGCAGGAGAGAAAGTTGCAACGACGGCAAGAAAAGGAGGCAACGCATTTTCTATTAAATTACCGCGATAATCGTTGCCACAATATTAGTGGATCAGTATTATCACTTTCGATTACGTAATGGAGCATGCTAAAGGCGTAGGCTACCATGAGACTGGTCGTTAAGTCATGCTATAAAACAGGCACGTCAAACTTGTTTTCATGGCGGGCCACGCCGAGGAGCCGCTTCGAGCAAGGAAAACGCATCAATCGCGAGCGGTGTAGTCATGTAGTCATTAAATCACCTTAAATCATTTCTTTCTCGGGAAACGCAACAAACTCATGAGTTTGTCTTCTTAGCAAATGAAGGAGTGCAACGGGAACAGATTAAGTCAGTGAAATATTCCTCTATAAAAACACTAATGAAGACATTTGTTCTTACAAACAACCCTTTCATGCTCACATATCAACCGAGCCAGAGTACTTGCGGGGGGGAACTAAAGAAACCAGTTGTGCATTATGAGCCATGGGAGGTTTGAGTCAATGTTACAAGGCTCCATTTCGGCCGCCTTTTCATTTAATCCAGTTTGAGGGAGACTTACCGCACGACAGTAGGCATCACCTCGCAGGCGAAGAAGATGCTGAGCATGGCAAGAGCTTGAGAAAACAGCAGACCCACAATGGAAAGCACCAGCACCAGGCCTCCTCGCAAGTCTGACAACACAGCAAGAAAACATTCGTTAGTTGCAAGGGACGAAGATTAGACAGCACACATCAACAAAAAGATTGAAAAAAAAAACATTACTTAGAGCAAAAGAAATTTTTAACATCATTAACCACTAAAAATGGGCGTACACTGAGTGAGTGCCAGCAGAAGCAGCGATGACAGTCCGGTGAGGATGGCGGAGAGCAGAAGCATACTTCGCCGACCGAAATGATTGACGGTGGAGCAGATGAAAATGCAGGCCAGCGTTCCCGTGGCGATTCGGACAAAGTAGCTGAAGTAGAAGTTGGTGGAAGACGCGTGCAGGTTTCGGGTGAAGCAGTATTGGATGCCTGTTCCAATCAAGCTACAGAGAAAGGAAACAACAACAGTCAACTGAGAGACCGAGGAAGTAAGAGTGACACTCACAATCAGCTCAAAACACGACTGGCTTATCGAAATACAACATGTGGCTTGTTCCTTGAAATCAGTTGGTTGAAAAAAAAAACTTACAGGGTGAAGCTGAGGATGAGGCAGTTCTTCCAAATAATCCGAGTCTGTCGCAGCTCTAAAATGGAATAACATCTTGGCTGGCGCTCTTCATCGAATACCGAATCAATCTCTAGACACAGAAAGAGAACGAAAACTAAATTCACCGACCGGCGGAACAGTGAAATGAGATCCAGTGCAAATGTACCATATTTTCCGCACTAAAAGGCACACCTAAAAGCCTTTCATTTTCTAAAAAGCTCACAGCGCGCCTTAAAATCCGATGCGCCTTGTGTATGGTCATTACGGTAATATTTCGACCCCAAAATGACTCCTTGCTCGAGACGTGCTGACAACGCAGAGGTCAAACTTAAGGCGATTGTTTACGCAGTTGAACACAGAAATAGAGCAGCGGCAAGAGAGTTCAACGTTAACAAGTCAATGTTATAAGTTGCTGTTGGTTAAGTGAACTGTGTCGCTGCTTTATAAAAAGTTTTACTGACATCTGATCGTTCTGTTGGCGTTTCCTTGAGCATAGCTCCATCTAGTGGATGCATTGTAGATTGCGTCTTATAACGCGGTGCACCCAATGAATGAAGAAAATTACAAAATAGGCCATTCATTGAAGGTGTGTCTCATAATCCAGTGCGCCTTTTAGTGTGGAAAATAATACGGTACCCACCCCCCCCCAAAAAAAAATCCTGGCCTCAGAACAATTATGCTCATTTTTAGTCCTCACTAAAAAAGTCAGAGTTCTGAACTGTTAATCGAAGACTGGAGCCGAGAGAGCAGCTAGTTGCAGTCTCACGTGCACGGACATCCGCTGCGAGAGCAAACACAAGCTCACCTGACAGCAAGGTTTCACCGGGGAAGAGCTCGTCTGGTAAACACTCGCCATTCCTGCTGGAGAATTCCCGGAGGCTCCTCTTCACTTCAGGGATCTGCGCGGTGGCCAACAACCAACGCGGAGACTCAGGAAACAATGATGCACAGCTGAACAAGACAATTGTCTTTCAATATATCGTGTACATGGAGAGCAAACACACAGCACAGATCTCTTTGAATAATGTATACAAAAATACCATTTTGGGTCAGTATGACAGATAATGTGACATTCATTTTGCTCTGAACATCAAGTTCTTCAACAGACACTTGTCATAAAAAAAAAAAAAAAAAAAAAAAAAAAAACATGTTTCCAGAGCGCTTCCTGCATCGTGTGTCCTTCCGTCCGAAACTTGGCTATCCGTGTATGACTCACCACCAATAGGAAATGAGCAGGAGCAGAGGTAACGTGGTAACAGCCTGCAAAACCGGCCAATCGCGACACAGAACAGCGACGCCTGGCAACAGCAGCTCAGCAAAGATGCCGAAGAAGCCGCTGATCATGGCAACCATGAGACGATGCGGAGGGTCACACAGCTCCAACCCTGGGGGGTGGGGGGGAATCATGGTTTTCATTCGAAAATTGCTAATGTCATTAAATACTGATGGACACATTGACAGCGTTTGCATATAAACAGAGAAGGGCATTCAGATGGGACAGACAAAAACCCACTTCCGTCCTGACTTAGTTCTTCCTTTTTAAAAAACATCTCGTCCATCTGTCCGGCCGTCCCCAATGAAGTCCCATTTCTGGGATGGAGAACGGAGGACGAGATAGTTTTTTTTTTTTTTTTTTTTAAAGGAAGAACTAAGTCAGGACGGAAGTGGGTTTTCATCTGTCCCTTCATTTGTCCCTAACCGGGTTACGTATGTGGTGTCAGGAGGCAAAATGACAAGGCCGGAGTGTAGCCAAATAGCTAACAGGCTATTACTAGCGCAAACTTTTTCATCTCAACAGTATTTTTAGAGCAACACTGCTACCTAGTGGACAGTCAGAGAACATAAAATACCGACATGCATTTCACGAAAGATCAATCCAGCAGGTTAAGAAAGCCGTCTGCACTGAATATCTCTCGGTGTCCGCCCACCAATATGCCATTTTGAGGCGTGGATTTCAAAAATTAAAATTATTATTATGATTTTATTTGATCGTAGCAGCTATTTTTGTGTTGTGAAATACGAATGTTGAGTTGTCACTAAGTCACTAAGATAATAAAAATATATCGAGAAACAGTGGTGTCATTTTTGTTTGATTGATGGCCAGTCTTATCTGCAACAGCCAATCACGACATTACTGAAAATAAGGTTCGGTCGGCGATATTCGCGATGAGTATCCAAATGTTTGCATGCGAGAGTCCTGCACATTTTTCAAAGTGTGGCATTGTGTAATGTGGCAAGACATGTAACCTTCATAGTGAGCACCTCCATGATGACGAAAACACTCTAAAATCCCGAATACCTGGACGCGCATTCGAATATTTTCAGAGGTTGATGTGAACATTAAGTAAAGATGTCACTAGAGTTTGCAGCGATGGGTTATATAATTGGGGTGGCAGTAGCAGATCTGTAAGGGGTTGCTCATCCTGCATGTGTGTGACTCTTTTTTTTTTTT